ATATATATATATATATATATATATATATATATATAATGTATATATAATTGAAAATTTCCTGCACTATGTTGTTAGACAAGAAATAATGCTTAATATTAACATTGCATGGATTAACACTTGCGCCGTGCCTTGCGCCCGGGTGTATGATAGGGTCCCTAAAGTCAATGGCACAGTATTTTTTTTGTTATTTGAAGAGCGTGTTAGTATAGGCACGTACACTCTGCTTATTACACACACAGCAGCACACAAATATTCCAAATATTAAAAATTAAAGGATTACAATGTAAAAGATTATTATTGTGTAGGCTACATAAATATAAAAATGCCTACATGTCATAATGGATAGTCATTGCATGTATCAGAATTAGGCTACCTATTTGCTCGCGCACGAGCAGCTCCGTTTCCTCTCTGGAGATGCGTTCTGTCTTTGCTCTTGCAAATTCTGCCATGTAAATAGCAAGTTCACCATGACGTGAGCGCAACTGTCTCTTAAAGGGAATGGGAGATGTGACTCTGATTGGTTTATTGCATGTTATGCCCAAAACACACACATTACTCATTAAGAGAATAGGGACAACACTTTTAGATCATGCGCCTGGCGCGCGGACCGTTTTTCCTGTCGTTAAACTAGCAAAAGAGGATTTGGACACGCCCTGAGTGCGCCTGCGCTGTGCGCTTTAGACCATGCGTTTAGATCATTAAAATAGGGCCCATAGACTGGCACCCAAACCATATTTACTGACTAAAATATCATAAATGTGGGAGTGGGCTTTTTTGACCCAAGTCAGTATTTAACCACCCTAGCAACCACCCCAAATACCTTAGAAACAGCACAGGAACATTCAAAGAACACGTTATCTATGGGTGGGGATGTAGGTGTTAGTGTTATTTTACTAGTCTTACATTTACTACTCTCTTTCTGACAGACATGTGATTGCATTTGTTGAATGCTTGCAACATATGACACTTTTGAAAAGATTAAGATTGTTGCTTGTAATGCAGTTGGGGCACTAAAATGTAGGTTTTAAAACAATACTTCAAATGGTTTGCCTTTAAATTATTAATTGCGATTCACCTTCACTCATATTTTATTGTATCATCATATAGTAATACATATCATGTTTTGTCACTAAAATATCTGCATTGTATCATAGTATCTAAATAAACATAGTACTGAACATTGCCATATAGTCATTCATTTTGTATATTAATACTCCATATCACAAAATGTTCATGTTATAAACAGATGGGAGGAAAGTTTGTATTTGAATGCTTTGGTGAGCAAACACAAAGTTTCTTGGGGGAGCCTAAAAGTTCTGAAAACAGAATTTTTATCTACCATCTCAAGTTATTTTCATTTCCAATTTTGAATTCACAAATGCTTTTGTAATTCTTCATTATGAATTCATAGGTGTCTTCTCAAGAGGTGAAGCAAGAGAACCCTCTGCAGTTTAAGTTTCGGGCCAAGTACTACCCTGAAGATGTGGCTGAGGAGCTGATTCAGGACATCACAAAGAAGCTTTTCTTCCTGCAAGTGAAGGAAGGCATCTTGAGCGATGAGAACTACTGCCCTCCAGAGACAGCCGTTCTGCTGGCTTCCTATTCTGTTCAGGCCAAGTTTGGAGACCACGCACCGGAAACCCACAAACCTGGATACCTAACGACCGAGCGGCTTCTGCCTCAGAGGTGAGTGGGGAAACTGCTCAAAAACATTCATTCGGTGCCTTCTAATGATTAAACCATTTTGAAATGACTCACAGGTGCTTATTCATTTTCCTGGAGGTCTACTTTCCTGTAAAGTTCAGTTCCAGCCCTGCTCCAACACACCTGTTTGACATTATCAAGTGTTCTTGAAGATCTTAATTAGCTGGGCCAGGTGTATTTGATTGGGTTTGGTGCTGAACTTTGCAGGAAAGTCTCCTGAAGATCTAGGAATATAATTGAGCACCCCTGACTTAAATAGGTTACTTAGTTAAAAAAAAGAATTTAAACTTTTTTATCAAAAAAATAAATTAATAGTGTGCAAAGAAAATATATATTTTTAAATCAGCACAGATTAAAATCAAGTTGGCTAAACATATTTCCATTACAAATGCCATCATTTGGACATGTCAGCAGAATGCAGAGTTTTTAATCACAAACAAAATAATCAGAATTGAACATAATTTTACAAGGTATGTTAATGGTAACTTGTTACAATAAAATACTTTATTCAGAATTTTTTTGAAAGCGCTTTACTGTTGTTGTTACATATTAATGTAAAAATGAAAATAACCATATACAATTATCTATGCTTATTGTTGGTGCTACTTCTAACAATCTACAATTTTTTTTAGGTATGTTTGAAAGACTTTTATTCAGCTTTATTATTCATTAACATAAACACAAGCATTTACAATGATGTTATGTAAAATTATACCGCATGTGAAAATTAAAATAAAATTAACAACACTTAAAATACATAAAGTTACAAGTTTAACAAGCATATTTATTTATTTATAAAAATTAAAAAAAAAAATTATATTTTGTTTTTAGAATATAATAATCTTGTCAGATCTACAAAGAATTTGCAACTCCATTTGCATGTTTTGACCACTTTCAATTACTGATAAAGAAATCTGAGACTCTGAGGACCCTAAATAGACAGAAATTATAGTGAGAAGACAAAAATAGAAACAAATATGTTGTTGTAAGGTAATGATGAAAACATGTGTGCAGTTTTTATTATGTGACATCTTGAAAATGTGGTTCATATTTATAATATATCATATTTTAGCCCCAAATATATATATGTAATATGGTCACATCATTTTAGTCATCCTACCACAACCCACATGAAAACTAAGCATGATTTTATTATAGTAAAAGTAGTAACAATGGTTTTTGGTGAATTGTTTTACTACAAATACCATGGTTAAACTATGGTTAGTGTAGCAAAACCGTGGTTAATTTATGGTTACCATGGTTTATTTGTAGTAAAACCATGCTTAATTTTCAAAATGGAAGGTGTGTTGATTTGATATTCTGTGTTTTCAGAGTGCTTGACCAGCACAAACTCTCTAAAGAGCAATGGGAGGAGAGGATCCAGATTTGGCACGAGGAGCACAGAGGCATTCTCAAGTGAGTGACTTATATACTTATATCCCATTCAGCTCGTCTTCATGTCATTGCACAAGCTTATACTTTCTTTGAATTTTGTGTCACCAGGGAAGATGCCGTGCTGGAGTATCTAAAGATCTCACAGGATTTGGAAATGTATGGCATCAACTATTTCGACATCAAGAACAAGAAAGGAACAGACCTGTGGTTAGGCGTAGATGCTTTGGGACTTAACATCTATGAAAAAGATGACAGGTAAGCACTTTTTGTGAGCCAGGCCTGATTGTTTAGAAACAGTGTCAGGCTAGTTGGGGATATTGGGGTCAGCTGTCATGACCGTGTGGTTAATGACCTGCAGAGTAACTCTCCAAACCCACAACAAGCCAAACAAGTCAACACGAACACACAGTGCTTACTATTGAGAGGTCGTTGCAACTAAGGACTAATGGACCACAAAGTCTGTGATTTTTGTAATGTTTGTTGACAAAAAAAAGACATTTAGTTCTTTGAAATCAATTTTGGCTGTTCTTCATTACTCAGGTTGACTCCAAAAATTGGATTTCCTTGGAGTGAAATAAGGAACATCTCATTCAGTGACAAGAAGTTCATAATCAAACCCATTGACAAAAAAGCTCCCGTAAGTCTTTGCATGAATGATTTGCTGTATTTCTGAAATTATTGTATGTGGAACAATGGCAAATAACAGCACTGAAGATGAAGGAAAAATATATATATTTTTTATCGTTTAAAATATATGTGTCAAGTTTGTTGAAATTAACTCTTTGTTTTCATGCTGATTTTGTATGGTTTCAAAAAACGTTTATACATTTTCATAAAAAGTTCAATTTAAATGATTAAATGATAATTGTCATGTGGTGTAACCATCAACAGTAAAGTAATATATTTTCCTAACATCTTGAATACATGTAAGTGAACATATCTTAAGCATTATTTTCCAAACCAATAGATAGATAGATAGACAGACAGACAGACAGACAGATAGATAGATAGCTAGATAGCTAGATAGATAGATAAAAGATATCACAATGAGTTGTAATATTGAAAATTTTAAACATTCTTCATGTGAGAAGTGTATTAAAGTGTATGTTTTTTTTTTTGGTAACACCTCAGTATAGGGACCAATTCTCACTATTAACTAGTTGCTCATTAGCATGCCTATTATTAACATATTGGCTGTTTATTAGTGCTTATAAAGCACATATTCTGCATGACCATATTCTACATCCCTAATCCTACCCAATACCTAAACTTGACGTTTATTGAGACAAAAGTCATAGTTAATGGTTTGCAAGAATTGGACCTTAAAGGGCTCATCAGATGCAAAATTCACTTTTACATGTAGTTTGAACATAAATGTGTGTTGTTGGTGTTTATACACATCCAACCTATAATGATAAAAATCCACCCAGTGTTTTTAAAAAAAAATCCATATAAATAATATCCCCTTTCTCAAATCAAGCCGATCTCAGGCCCCTCCCACGATAGTTGATTGACACTGGCGTTTTATCTTAGACCCGCCCTGAGTGAGCTGTGGCGAGTCTGCCATTGTTTCGACGCCGGAGCAGGAGTAGACAAGAATGACTCCTAAGCGATTGAGGTGTTCTGTTGTTGGATGTAATGATGAACATAGCAGTCGTCATTTACTCCCGATATCTGGGCTGCTGAAGACGCAGTGGATTACATTTGTTTTTGAAAGGAATGCGTCCCCCGATCTGCCTAAATGCGTCTATGTTTGCACGAATCATTCGTGATCCAGCTTCACCTACAGAAGAAGTGAATATAAGGTTCTTTAATGAATCTTTGCAAATCGCCTTTCCTAATAACGTGCAAGTTCCGCAGCTAAAGTTTACAGTCTCTCAGTGAAAGCCTAGTCACCCCACAAAAGAGAGGGGCGTGGTCAGCAGAGCTCATTAGCATTTAAACAAACATGCACTAAAACGGCTTGCTGTGTGCAGAGCTGTTTTTGACAGCGTAAAAAGGGTGATGTTTTACACTACCAATGAGACATTTTAACCAGAGTATGTTATAGACATTTCATTAAGACCCTAAAGAATCATATCAACTTGTGGAAAATGGGCATCCGATGACCCCATTAAAATAAACTGTGACCTTTTTTTTTCAGTCAAGAAGGCTGGTTGGAATATTTTTGACATTATTTATGCAAAAGACATTATGAAATATGACACATTCTGTTCTCTCTCTTGTTCTTACAGGACTTTGTGTTCTATGCATCTCGTCTGCGCATTAACAAGCGCATCCTGCAGCTGTGCATGGGAAACCATGAACTTTACATGCAGCGCAGGAAACCTGATACTATTGAGGTGCAGCAGATGAAGGCTCAAGCCAGGGAGGAGAAACACCAGAGACATATGGAGAGGTGAGGACACAATATTTATTGCCCAGAGTGGGTCATTATATAGCGATGACCACCAGCTGCCACCAGGAAAGTCAGGGGACTAGTTTTACTTTTATTGCCCAGTAAACATACATACATATATACATAAATACATAAATTAAATAAATAAATAATTTTTTAGTTTTTTTACTTTATGATTTTTTTTCCATTAAGGGTACATTATTAAAGGGGTCATATGATGCGATTTCAATTTTTCCTTTCTCTTTGGAGTGTTACAAGCTCTTGGTGCATAAAGAAGATCTGTAAAGTTGCAAAGACTAAAGTCTCAAATCCAAAGAGATATTCTTTATAAAAGTTAAGAGTCAACCACGCCTACCTAAAACGGCTCGTTCTAACACGCCCCCACATACCTACGTCACGATGTGGGAATTCTCGCTGTAGTTTTGTTGTTGCCGCTGCCGCCATGTCATGAAGGCGCTCTGTTTAGTTGTAAAAGCGAAACTACTTTGTTTGGCCTTCCAAAAGAGGACGATATCTGCTTCTTCATGCCTGGAGCTGATCCGTGCTGGTCGCTGAGGAAATACATCAACTTTGCGCTGTGGATCACCGGATTGGCTTTCACCGAGGACAAAGCTGAGTCCAACCCGGGGTCATCACATGTGGTTGCCGCAAGCCCCCTTCGTCGAATCAGCCGGCCGCGCCATTCTCAAGCCCGCCCGCCTCTGCTCGCTCTAGGCCTCCGGCCGCCGCTCACTCAAGGCGTGTGTGTGACGCAGTTTCGCTGTGAAAGCAAAACTACTTTGTTTGGCCTTCCAAAAGA